GCAGCTGCTGCAGCTGCGGAGGGCGTTTGCTGCAGCGCAGCAGCAGCAGCAGCAGCAGCAGCGGCAGCAGCAGATACAGCTGAAAGTGCTGTATGTACACACGACAGCAGCAGCAGCAGCAGCAACTCCAGTTTCTAGCTTTGCTGCTCCTCTCCTGGGGCTCCGTCTAGCGCAGGCACTGCAGCGCAGCAGCAGCAGCAGCAGCAGCAGCAGCAACAGCAGCAGCAGCAGCGGCTCCGCAGTGGTGTTCGTTGTTGACGGTCTGGAGGCTCACGAGGCAGCAGCAGCAGCTGCTGCAGCGCAGCAGCAGCAGCTGCTGCTGCCAGGAGACACAGGAACTGTGACCCCACTTTGTCTCCTTCCCTCTATATATGGAATTCTTGCATGCGACGAGCAGCAAACAGCAGCAGCAGCTCAGCAGCAGCAGCAGCAGCAGCAGCAGCAGCAGCAGCAGCAGCAGCAGCAGCAGCAGCAGAGCAGGCTCATGCCCCTTACCCGCATCTTCTCCATTCACACAGAAGATGCTGCAGCAGCAACAGCAGCAGCAGCAGCAACAGTAGCAGCAGGCAGCACGTGCCCAGGTGCTGCTGCTGCTGCTGCTCTTGCGCCTCTGGCTACTGCATGCATTCCTTTTTGCTGCCTCCCCACAGGCACGCGCCGCAGCAGCAGCAGCAGCAGCAGCAGCAGCAGCAGCAGCAGCAGCGGAGCGCTGCTGCCGTCAATCGACTGGCCGATGCTGCTGCAGCAGTCTCCTCATTGGGCCCTTGCAGATTCGTTTGCTGCTCTCTGCAGCTGCTGCTTCTCCCCAGCTTTTGCTGCTGCTGCTGCTGCTGCTGCGGAGGTGCAGCAGCAGCAGCAGCAGTTGCTTACTGCTGCTGAATCGCTGCTCCGGGCGAGCCGCTGCAGCAGCAGCTACTGCAGCCGCGCTGCAGCAGCAGCAGCGCAGCCGCTGCTGCTGCGAATTGCTGCTGCTGCTTTTCTCTGGCAGCAGCAGCAACTGCAGCAGCAGGGCTCCCGGCAGCAGCTGCTGCAGCAGCTGCGCATGCAGCTAGAAGACTATGAAGCAGCAGAACTCAGCAGCCTGCAGTCTGCTGCTGCTGCTGTTGCTGTGCTGCAGCAGCAGCCGCTGCTGTTCCGCTCCCCCCCCGAGCAGCTGCTGCTGCTCCGCGCCGCAGCGTTCTACTTCTTTGGGCCCCACACCAGCAGCAGCAGCAGCAGCAGCAGCAGCAGCAGCAGCAGGGATCGGGTGCAGCAAGCAGCAGCATTTGCGCAGCAGCTGCTGCAGCAGTTCCCTGCTGCCTATCCGCTGCTGTGGGAGGAGCTGCAGGACCATCTGTCTCGAGACGCAGCAGCAACAGCAGCAGCAGCAGCAGCAGCAACAGCAGCAGCAGCAGCAGCACCAGCTGCTGCTGCACTGCAGCAGCAGCAAGACCCCCGCGAGGCTGCTGCTGCTGCTCTTCTGCTGCTGCGCAAAACTGACGAAGCCCTCTTGTCTCTTAGAGAGGATTTCCCTCTTACCCGGACTTTTTAAATAAAATAAAATAATTAAATTAATTAAATTAATTTAATTAGTTAATTTAAATTAATTAAATTAATTAATTTAATTAATTTAAATTAATTAAATTAACTAATTAAATTAAATTAATTTAATTATTTGAAGTCTAATAAGGGGCTTTGCTGCGCGGGGGGCCCCCGGGGGCCCCCAGGGGCCCCCAGGGGCCCCTGTGCATTTGCTGCTGCTTCTGGCTAGCTGCCTCCAAACCCTAAACCCTAAACCCTAAACCCTAAACCCTAAACCCTCGAGGCCGCAGCTTTCCCCTTAGTTAAGCGTCTATCAAAAGTGTTTTGCTGCACTGAAGGAGCAGCAAATCCAAAGAGGCGCATGCAAACGCGCTGCTGCCTCTTTTGCTGCAGCAGCTGCTGCAGCAGCTGCAGCAGCTGCAGCAGCAGCAGCTGCAGCAGCAGCAGCTGCAGCAGCAGCTGCAGCAGCATCTGCAGCATCAGCTACAGCAGCTGCTGCTGCCTTGCGGAGGCACAACCACACGCAGCAGCAGCAGCAGCTGCTGCTGCTGCTAGACAGCTTTTCTAATTTGGCCATACACTCGCTGCTGCTGCTGCTGCTGCCGCTGCTGCTGCTGCGCTGCTGCCGCCGCCGGCGAGCCCCTAAGCAGCAGCAGCAGCAGCAGCAGGAACAGCAGCAGCAGCAGCAGCAGGAACAGCAGCAGCAGCACTGCTGCGTCTCCCGCACCTGCAGCCGTACCGCGCCGGCTCCGCCGCCGCCACCGCAGCAGCACCAGCAGCAGCAGCAGCAGCAGCAGCAGCAGCAGCTGCTGCTGCTGCTGCTGCTGCTGCTGCTTAGTCATCAAATAAGCTGCGAGGAGCAGCACCTGTGGGCTGCGGCTCTGCGAAAATGCTGCTGGGGCCCCCAGCCTTTATTAAAGAAGACATGAGGGTTTGGTGTTTTTGCTGCAGCTGCTGCTTCCTTTCTTTTTGCTGCTGCTCCCTGCGCTGCCTCTCTTCTTGCTGCTGCTGCTGCAGCAGCAGCAGCCGCCGCTGCTCCTGCTCGCGCTGCTGCTGCAGCAGCTCCTGCTGCCGCCGCTCCTCCGCCAGGCGCTGCTGCAGCAGCAGCTGCTGCTGCTGCTGCTGCTGCTGCAGCAAGGCCTCGCTGCTCGCCCCGTTTGCTGCTGCTGGCGAACATGGAGGAGACACAATGTGTCCCCTTCTGAAGCCCCTTCTTGCTGCGTCGCTGCTGCTGCCTGCTGCTGCTGCTGCTGCTGCTGCTGCTGCAGTCGCTGCTGCTGCGGTCTCCACGCAGCCCCGCCCGGACTGCAGGGCCCCCAGCAGCTGCTGCAGCAGCTGCTGCGCACTCTTCTGCTGCTGCAGCACCTGCTGCAGCAGCGCTTCCTGCTGCTGCTGCTGCTGCCGCATCTCCTTCATGTCAGCAGCTAAACGGTCCACAGCAGCAGCAACAGACTCTCCCCCGCATGCACACACTGACGGCTGCTGCTGCTGCTGCTGCTGCAGACGCATGCGGCTCATCTGTTCAGCTGCTGCTGCCTGCTGCTGCTGCATTGCTGCTGCTGCAGCACGCGCATTGGTCCCTGCTGCTCCATGGTCTGCTGCTGCTGCTGTTGTGGGGTCTGGCGCGTCTCGCCAGTCGTCTAGGAGGCTCTCACCTGCTGCTGCTGCAGCTGCTGCAGTTCCTGCTGCTGCTGCTGGGTCTGCTGCAGCAGCAGCAGCACCCCTCAGGGGGCCCCCATAGTAAGACTCCTCAGGGCTGCTGCTGCTGCTGCTGTGGCGGGCCACAGGGTCTCCGAAGTCTTCCTCAGCCAAGAAGGGCCCCTCTTCTTGCTGAAGCGCAGCAGCAGCAAACCCGTCAGCAGCAGCAGCAGCAGCAGCAGGAGCAGCAGGAGCTGCTGCTGCTGCTGCGGCCTCGGGAACAGCCCCCGGGCAGGGACGCAGCAGCGGTGGGGACATGTGGGGAGGCGGTGTGCCGGCCGGCGTAGCCCCAGCAGCAGCAGCAGCAGCAGCAGCAGCGGCTGCTGCTGCTGCTGCTGCTGCTGCTGCAGGGTTTTGCTGCTCTGCAGCACCGAGAGTCGGGCGGGTCCAGGCCCTCCCCTCTTCGGGGAACGCGGAGTGCATGGCGGCGGTTTGGGGTGTACGTACACCTCAAATTAGGGTTTAGGGTTTCGGCGTCTGGGGCTCCTTGGGGGCCCCCTGGGGCCCCGGGCAGCTGCGGGGGGCCTCTGCTGCTGCTGCAGCAGACCAGTGGTCAGCTGGTGGTCCACTGACACGCGGCGCTGCGGCGGTGCTGCTGCTGCAGCAGCAGCAGGGGCTCGGGGGCTCTGCAGCAGCGCAGCAGCAGCAAAACAGAAACGCCTCGCGGGGGTTATTTTCTCACTTGAAGAAACAAAATCTAAAAAAGAAATTCCAAAAAGATAAACCAGACACTCCGAACTGCAGCGGCGAGGCCTGCTGCTCGCAGACACAGGCGCTGGGGCCCCTGCTGCTGCTGCTGCTGCTGCTGCTGCTGCTGCTGCAGGGCTGCTGTGCTCGGGCGTCTGTGTGTCTGCTGCAGCAAAACCAATCAACTAATTTTTAATTTATTTATAATCTTTTAATTTTCATGTTTATAAAAAGAATAAAACAAATAAATGAACTGAGGCTTCCCTCGGCATCGCTCGGCGCCGCAGCGCCGTCGCCAGGTGTATAGGCAGCTCCGGGTGTATGTACACCTCGCAGGTCTTGTCTGAAAGAATCTGAAAATATATTTTTGTGCTGCTGCAGCAGCAGCAGCAAAGAATCTTCTGCTGTTTGTGTCACTTCGCGGGTCAGAAACAGCAGCAGCAGCAGCGGCAGCAACTGCTGCTGCGGCTGCTGTTGAGCAATCCAGCAACTGCTGCTGCTGCTGCAGCAACTCCCTGCTGCCGCTGTTGCAGCAACTCCTGCTGCTGCTGCTGCTGCTGCAGGCATGCTGCTGCTGGCAGCAGACTCACAGAGACACAGGTGGCAGCGCCGGAACCGCAGCTAGCTGCTGCAGCACGTTGCAGCTGCTGCAGGTCCTGCTGCTGCAGCAGGCTGCAGCTGCTGCAGGTCCTGCTGCTGCAGCAGGCTGCAGCTGCTGCAGGTCCTGCTGCTGCACCTAGCTGAAGCTCCTGCTGCTGCATGTAGCTGTTGCTGCTGCAGATGTTGCTGTTACTCCTGCAGCTGTTCCTGCTGCATGCACGTGCTGCTGCTCCTGCTGCTACAGTACCCCTATTCCTGCTGCTGCTGCTGCTGCTGCTGCTGCTGCTGCTGCTGCTGATCAAGTGCTGCTAGAGACGAACTACCTATTGCACGGAAGTCTCTCAGTCTGTTGCCAGCGTTGCTGCTGCTGCTGCTGCTGTTGCTGCTCTGTTGCTGCTGCTGCTCTGTTGCTGCCAGTGCACCGGCAGCAGCAGCAGCAGCAACAGCAGCTAGCAACTGCTGCTGTACTTGCAGCAGCAGCAGCAGGGGAAGCAACGAAGACCCCGCGCATGCCGCTGCTGCTGCGTGGCAGGCAGCAGCAGCAGCAGCAGCAGCAGCAGCTACCTGAGGCCTTAAAGTTGGGATTGAATTAATTAGAATAATCAGAAAAGACAAAAGACAAAGACAAGAAAAAAGAAACTCCCTTCATTCCCTTCAAATCACAAACCAGCCCTAAAACGCATGCAGCATGCATGCAGCTCGAGTGACCTCTGCTGCTGCTGCTGCTGCTGCTGCTGCTGCTGCTGCTTCTGTTGCAGTGCTGCTGCTGCAGTGCTGCTGCTGCAGGGCCGCTTCTGCAGGACTGCTGCCACGATCGCGCGACGTGTTGCTGTGCCGTCTGCTGCTGCTGCTGCTGCTGCTGCTGCTGCTGCTGCTGCTGCTGCAGCTGGCCTTCCTTGCAGCAGCAAAATCACTTCCTCAGCAGCTATTTGCAATTATCAATTTTAAACTGTCCCTAAAAAAGCCAAGAGGAGACGAAGCAGCAGCTGAAGCAGCACTACTCAATCTTTACTCACAAATAGACCCATGCGTAGGCTGCTGCTGCTGCTGCTGCTGCTGCTGCTGCTGCTGTTGCTGCTTCGGTGCCGCTGCTGCTGCTGCTGCAGTGCCGCAGCTGTTGCAGTGCCACCGTTGCTGCTGCGCCGTTGCTGCTGCTGCTGCTGCTGCATTCTTGCAGGATTAACGCGCGCGTTTGCGTTTTGCTGCTGGTTCTTTTGTGTCTTTTGCTGCTTCTTTTGTTGCTGCTGCTTCTTTTTGCTTCTTGTCTTTTGTCTCTATTTTTCTTTTCTTTTTGTCTTCTTTTGCATCTGCTGCTGCGTCTCTTTCTTTGCTGCTGCCCTTCTCCAATGGCTGCTCCTGTCCCTTCCTGCTGCGCTTCGCTCGGCTATTGGGCTCCTGCTGCTGCTGCTGCTGCTGCTGCTGCTGCTGCTGCTGCTGCTGCTTTGCTGCTGCGTCTTCGCCCTTAGAAGCCTCCTTGCCGTTTGCTTTGCTGCTCTTTTCCTTTTTGCTTCTTCCTTTTTCTTCTTTTGCTGTTTGCTGCTTCTCCTGCCCCTCTGCTGCTTGCTTGCTGCTGCTCCCAGCAGCAGCAGCAGCAGCAGCAGCAGCAGCAGGAGCGTCTTTGGGGGCCTTGTGTCTCTTGCCGCCCTTCTCCGGCTCTTCCGCTGCTTGCTTGCTGCTGCCCTTGCTGCTCTTAGCAGCAGCAGCAGCAGCAGCAGCAGCAGCAGCAGCAGCATCAGGGCCTGGGGAAGCCTGTCTTTTGTTTTTTCCGGGAGTGGGGATTTTTCTTTTTTTGAATTCTCCTGTGTCTTTATTTGCTTCGTTTGTTATTTCTTTATTTGCTTCCTTTTTTGCTTCTTTGGAATTTCTTTTTATTTCTTTTGCTGCTTTAGTTTCCTTTTTGCTTCTTTCTCTCTTCGATTCCGGGCTGCTGCTGCTGCTGCTGCTGCTGCTGCGGCGGCTGCTGCTGCTGCGGCGGCTGCTGCTGCTGCGGCCCCTACCGCGTCCTCCGCTGCTCTCAGTCTTCGTGCTGCTCTTCTTCCCTGCTGCTGCTGCTGCTGCTGCTGCTGCTGCTGCTTTCTTGTCGGTTGCTTCTGGGGAGCTGCTGCGCCTGCTGGAGCCTCTGCTGCCTCTGCTGCTGCTGCGTCTGCTGCCTTCGCTGGCCCTGCTGCTGCTGCGGGACCTGCTGCTGCGGCTGTTGCGGTTGCTGCCGCTTCTGCTTCTGCGGCTGCTGTTGCTGCTGCTGCGGCTGCTGCTGTTGCTGCCTGCTTCTCTTTTAGGGCTGCCGCCCTCGCTGGCACTCCGCTTGCCATTTGCTGCGCTGCTGCTGCGGCTCCTGCTGCTGCTGTCGCGGCCTTTGCTGCTGCTGCGGCTGGGGCTTCTCTTGCTGCTGCTGCGGCTGGGGCTTCTCTTGCTGCTGCTGCGGCTGGGGCTTCTTTTGCTGCTGCTGCGGCTAGGGCTCCTGCTGCCGCTTGCTGCTACGCTGCCGCTTGGGCTGCGGCTCCTTTTGCTGCTGCTGTTGCTGGGGCTCCGTTTGCTGCTGCTGTTGCTGGGGCTCCGTTTGCTGCTGCTGCGGCTGGGGCTCCTTTTGCTGCTGCTGCGGCTGGGGCTTCTGCTGCCGCTTGCTGCTACGCTGCCGCTGGGGCTTCTCTTGCTGCTGCTGCGGCTGGGGCTCCTGCTGCGGCTTGCTGCTGCGCTGCCGCTGGGGCTCCTTTTGCTGCTGCTGCGGCTGGGGCTTCTCTTGCTGCTGCTGCGGCTGGGGCTCCTCTTGCTGCTGCTGCGGCTGGGGCTCCTCTTGCTGCTGCTGCGGCTGGGGCTTCTCTTGCTGCTGCTGCGGCTGGGGCTCCTGCTGCCGCTTGCTGCTACGCTGCCGCTGCGGCTTCTCTTGCTGCTGCTGTGGCTGGGGCTCCGTTTGCTGCTGCTGCGGCTGGGGCTTCTTTTGCTGCTGCTGGGGCTGCCGCTGCGGCTCCTGCTGCCGCTGCGGCTCCTGCTGCTGCTGTGGCTGGGGCTTCTGCTGTTGCTGCGGCTGCTGCTGTCTTTGGGGGCCGGGCTTTTGCTGTTGCTTCTGCTGCGGCTGCCGCTGGGGCTTCTGTTGCTGCCAGCAGCGCTGCCCTTGCTGCTGCTGCGGCTTTTGCTGCTGCTGCGGCTTTTGCTGCTGCTGCTTCTCTTGCTGCTGCCGCTCTTGCTGCGGGCAGCGCTGGGGCTGTGCTGCCTGCTGCCTTCAGCGGCGTTGCTGCCGCTGCGGCTTCTGCTGCTGCTGCTGCGTTTGCTGCTGCGTTTGCT